AAACAACGACTAACTATAATATTAATTGAAATTAATTCGATTTCTGTTACATAAAATACTTTGGTACTTTAACCCTCTACAACTAGAATTTCGTTTACTCGTAGATAGTGCGTCGATGTTTATGCATTTTCATACTTCTACAGATGTAACTAAATCATTGTCCGATTCGCTAAACGTTATGAAAAATATTTTACTTTGGGTATTTTATATATTCTTGACTATTGTAGCAATTAAAAATCTGGGACTTGATAATTATTATAATTATTCTTATAATAACAACGTATTGGTGGAATACAAGTGAAGCAAGAAGCAGCAAACGAGGCAAGATTTTCAAAATATTGAAACGTTGTTATAGAGGGTTGTTGTTGAAATTATTTTGTCATCAAAAACGAATTGGAAAAGATACGTTTGTCGTGATGTCAAGATGTCAAAACACTACTCGAATTGATACCTTACGAAGTATATATTCAATTTTAATTTACAATGATTTGTAGACATAAAGATTTATCTTCGTGATAATTGCACTCTATACTTCTACTTTAACAGTATCGTTTTTCGCGATAGAAATACATTTGTTATAAACGATTAAAAAGAATTCTCGAACTTCTACAGTAGAAGAGACTCGCTTCGAAACGCTATTTAAGATAGGAAACACAAAAAATTGCTTCTAATGCGTCCAACCTTGTTGTAGGATTACAATAATATACGCTCGTAATTGCGTGTAATTTGTAGAGGAATCAATTATTTTATGTGACACGAAGTAGTCACGTACACACAAAGATTGTTTAATTGGAACATTTTACAAGACATAAGACATAATAACAACGAATTATTACTATACATTCGCACGTTCGTTCGCAAGAAGCTTTAGCACGATTGAAATTAAAACGATCGTGGAACACGTGTTTGCCAAAAGCAATGCCAAATGCTCTTCTTAATAAATATTTTAATAAAAAAAATATGAATTAAATTAATTCGTAAAGCTTCAATTTCTTTACATTAAAGAGCAATCTTAGATGACGATTGTAGATGTTATATATCTTTGAAAAGAAGGACAATGCAATTAATTCTAGATTGAATTACTAATTTCGGTACAACAATTAATATCAAACGAATATTAAATAATTTCAATAAGTCAAGCTCGTTTAACAAAAATTTAGGGAAATTTTACCTTTAAAGCATTGAAAGCCTTCAGCTTTAGAGAAACAACGAAATACTTGAGTAATGTTGATGAATTATTAAGTAATAATATTCTCAACACATAACGACATGTTATTGATATATTAAATATTAATTGCACAACAGTATTCTCGAATATCTGCCTTTTGATCATCAAAGTCAAAAATACGCGAATATCACGACAAAATCTCGACTCCTTATAGCATTAACACACAAAATGTGTCTACATTATTGTCCTTACAATATAACTTTCATATTATATTTGCGAGCTTCCTCCGTTTATTGTCCGATATTAAGAAGTGGAATTTCTATTTCTCGGAAAATAAGATCGATAGAACGATACAGGTCGACATTATCTGAATTATATATACCTAAAAGTATATATATATAGGTATGTATAATGACACATATTATATGGTATACACGTGTTATATACATGTAATGTGTGTTTATATATATAAATGATTATTTATATATATATATATAAACATATTTATATATATATATAATATTTATATATATAAATATTTCGAATGGTTACAATTTAATTCACTTATTATTAGACCACAATAGTTAATACTTTCTTTCATATGTTACGAATAAATGTTCGTTCCAAGCATTTTTGAAATTTCACGCGATACACAATAGCATAGCAAGCTCATCAAAACGTTCATAATCAATCTGTTGCGTACATCTCTTTAAATCGTTCTCGGAGAGAAAATAGTTACTGATCGAAGCAATTGATTCAAGTTTCATGTGTTTTCCGCAACACTTGGATTTTGATTTTCGCGAGTGTCAAAGGCTAAAACCAGTAAATGTTAAATGTTTCAAATAATCATTATATATATATATATATATATATATATATTATGTTGCTACGTGATACCAGTTTCTCGTCTTCACACTCGTGAAAATTACAACTTGGAATTAATAATAATTAATCAACTGCAGACTTTTCGTGCAGGTCTGTTCTTTTAGAAAAAAAAATGCAGCTTGAACGGACAATTGTTGTATTTAGTAAATACTATAATTGGATTCGTTTATACGATTTTGCTTATCGTGTACATTCAGTGTGTTCCTGCGTTCTCGAATTTTCCACAGATGCATAAATATCCGCAGTTCAGTAATTAATTCTGTTATTTATACTATTGCTTTCCTATTGAAACTTCTATGAACAGCGACTTAACTATCGAAGGAATTGTGTA